ATGCCCCTAAGTCAAGTGAAAAGCTGACCTGTCCCTTTCAAACTACAAGCACATTTTAGTATGTTACTGTTGTTGTTAGGTGCCATCGAGTCGGCACTGACTCATAGCGACCTTACGCACAGCAGAACGAAACACTGCCCGATCCTGGGCCAACCTCACTATTGTTGCCACACTTGAGCCCACTGATGCTGCCATTCTGCCAATCCATCTCGCTGGGGGTCTTCCTCCTTTTCTCTGACCCTCCACCTTACCAAACATGGTATCCTTCTCCAGCGACTGGTCCCTCCTGACATCATGACAGACGTTTGGCCATCCTGGCCTCCACTTCTTCCAACACAGATCTGTTGGTTCTTTTTAAGTAGCAATTGCAAGTATTATCACGTTCAAGTCAAGAATCCGAGTCGCTTTTACTCTTTTCTTTCAGTTTCGATTGTTTTATATGTTTGATATTTTTAATGTGAATTTTCCTTTCTCTTCTTTGAAAAAAAATCATCTTATTTTTCAAGTTGTTTTGAATTAGGACCAGTAACAACTAATTACTTAAGTGCCAACCGGTAGGTATCTACAACATGCCAAGCACTGAAGTTTTATTTCATATTTAATTCTCATACTCACCTAGAGAGACATACAGTACTATTCACGCCTTACAGATGATGCAATTGACGCTCTGGGGTAATAAACAGCTTGTCTAAGTACCAGACTGCTGTTATTGTTAAGTGCTGTCAAGTTGGTTCCAACTCATAGTGTGACCCTGTATATAGTTTGTGAGGAATGGCTATAGGTTTGAACCACTAACCTTGCTGTCAGCAGTCCACTGTCTATCCTACAGTGCCACACCAAAACTCCAAGGCTAGGAAATATTAAAACCGTAAGCCCATGCTCCAGTCCATCATCCCTTCACAAAACCAATCTTTCTTATCTGTCTAGCTGACAGCAAAGTATGTCTAAGACTAAATAACTTTTTATGAGGAAATAAAGTTTTCAAAGGATCCCTTGTGGTGTGGTGGTTAAAGCATTCAGCTGTGAACCAAAAAATCAGCAGTTTGAACACACCAGCCACTCTGCAAGAAAAAGATGTGGGACAGTCTGTTTCCATAAAGATTGTTGTCACTGTTGACTGCTGTCGAGTTGGTTCCAACCCACAGCAATCCTATATAGCGTTTTCAAGGAGCAGCTAGTGAGCTTGAACCACTGACCTTGTGGTTCAAAATGACTTTGCAGTCCTGCGCATTAATCCACAGCACCAAAAAATTACAGCCTTGGAAACCATATGGGGCAGTTTTACTGTGTCCTGTATAGACTGCTGGTGTGGCACTGTAGGATAAGCAATAAACTGTTGACTGCAAGGTTAGTGGTTCAAACCCACCAGCTACTCCTCAGAAACCCTATATGGGGTCCTAGCAGTCAGAAGGAATTCAACGGCACTTAACAAAACAATATGGGATCATTTTAAGTTGGAGTCAACTGGAAGGCAGTAGGTTTGGTTTTACAAAACTATCAAGCTACATGTTTACTGTTTCTTATAACATACTCTTCCCAGTTGTTCCTTGGAAACCCTATATAGGGTCACTATGAGTCAGAACTGACTTAACGGCACTTAACAACAACGACTGTTCTTTTATCCCGTATTTGATATTTTGTCCATTTTTGAGAAGTTACAGTGTTCTTCAGTAAAGAAACAAATTTCTCCAAGTAGCACTCAAATTAACTACTCACATCTGCCACAACTCAAAATACAATTCTGTCACACAGAATCCTTGATTGATAAATGTAGCTTTCTCATATAACAACTGCAGTAGTGATAATAACAGTGATAATAATGATAACATCAATAGCTACTATTAGCATTTACTGAACACTTAAATGAGTCTGACAGTTTCAACTAAACTATTTACTGATGAATCTTAAATGGTATTTCCATTTAGGATTTATCTATAAACAGAAGGAGCCCTAGTAGGGCCATGGTTAAACTCTTGGTTGCTAACTGAAAGGTCAGCAGTTCAAACACAACAACCACTCAACAGGAAAAAGATGTGACAGTCTCCTTTCATAAATATAAAAATGGAAACTTTGTGTGGCAGTTCTAAGCTGTCTGATATGAGTCGAAAAAGACTTGACAGCAATGGATTTTGGGGATAGCCCTAAATTCATAATAATACATCCCCTAATTCATAATAATACACAGTCCTGGTGGCAAAGTGCATTACGCACTAGTCTGCTAAACAAGGTGTGGTTCAAACCCAGCACTCACTCCAAAGACGATAAATGAGACTGTCTGCCCAAGTAAAGATTTACACGGTTGGAAACCCTATGGAGCAGTTCTACTCTGTCCTATAAAGTTTCTGGAGTTGTTGTGTGGCACTGTAGGATAAGCACTGGATTGCAAACCACAAAGTCAATGGTTCAAAACCACCAGCCACTCTTTGGAAACTCTACACAAGGTCACTATGAGTTGGAACCAACCATAGGACACTTAGCAACAAAATAAGTTGCTCTGAGTCAGACTCAACTTGATGGCAGTGATTGGGGGGGGGGGGGTGTTCGTTTTTTGTTTATATACAGAGTTATCTGGCTATGTGTGAGGAGTGTCTGCTTGTCTTAAGAAAGAGTGTTTATGACACAGTCCCTAGGGGCTAGGACTGACAGAGAAGTGGCTAGGTGGTTTGAAGTGCAAGGAGGTGTGTGTGAATTCCCAAAATTACAGCTAGTACCCATTTGACCTGGTTGGATGACTTGTTACTCAAACTGAGGAAGATAAAGATGTCCCATACTGAGACCAAGTGCAAACTGTTACACTTTAACAACCTAGACTTCTGCCTATGAATGGACTCAAAATTCTAACCAAAATGGAAGGATTCTTCTAATCAAGTTTCAACCTTGTTTCCTCAGTGTACTGGGTTGATAGGGATGAGAAATTTAGACATTGGTTATCAAAAAATGAGGAGCTACAAAAGCATGAAGTGGCTGGCTTTCATGATTGTGCTTAGTTTCAGAATAAGGGGGGTAAGGTAGACCCCACTAAATCGTTTCCCTCTTTCCTAGATGGATCTGGTGAAAGGGAATGGAGACTACGGTGACAGGATTTTATGACTCAACTGAGAATCAATTACGAGGGTCTCAACTGTAATTGTAGCTGTGTGACTAAAAGGAAGGAGTAGGTAATCTTTCATTTTAGGAACAGAGGACCCCAGAACTGTCAAGAAGGAAGAGCATGAATGGAGTGTGAAATCTCTACCCAGAAAAGTGGTGACAGCAGACAAGATGGCTGGATGCCTGTGGGCAGGAGGCTGGATGGTAGAATGTGTCCTCTGGACACTTAATGAAAATACATAACTTTCTGTTTTGTAAGTGTAGATTAAATATTTTTGCCTTGTTCTTTTGTGAAATATAAGATGTAAATGGGGAGCCACAGGGAGGAAATGCGATGAATGTTGTTGCAAGGAATGGTCTGTAATCATTATGATGAAACAAGGTGTATGGTTTGCTGAATGCAGAGCTAATAGTGTTGTCTGTAAACCGTCCCCCAATTGATAATAAAAAGTTAAGAAAAAAAAAGTGTTAAATTAAACCTGTATTCTCAACTAACCTCTGTGTGTAGGTACAACCCAAACTGATTTATTTAGCAGACAGATTTAATACCACTTTTCCTGGTAATCATAAAACTAATCTAAAAGGAATCCTGGTATGGCGCTGTAGGATAAGCACTGGACTAGAATGTCAAAGTCGGGGTTCAACTAGTGGCTCCTTGGAACCCTAAACAGGGTTGCTATGAGTCAGAATCCTTGGTAACAACAAAAAGGAGCTAAATTACTTAGTATCTCCTTAATGGGACAAAGCAAGGGAAGCATAATAAGAAAACAAGAACTGTCATGTCCTGCTGTTGCTGTCATCTGAGAAGATAGGAAGATGAGGTGTCAAGTAAGTATCTTACTCTCAAGGGAATCTCCATCTAGCTCCTCTTCCTTCCAGTTCAATTTCTATTCACTTTATCTTACCTCCCCTTTAAAAACTCACAATCTCCAAGACATCCTTTCAGTAAACCTCCCTTTGGCGGGGAGGGGAGGGAAGGCTTTGAAAAAAAGTTGCAGTCAACAGAAACTTCTGTAAACAAAGTACCTTAGCCTAGCTATGAGTTCATATAAGCAAGAGTTCATCTTAAGGTACTATTTGGCTGATTACACTGACAGTATAAGAAAAACAAAGGGTGTCCACACTATTCTCCCACATATATCTCATCCTGACTCTCCTAAGTCTTCCTTCTTTTAGTGAATTCAAGACAGAGAATCCTAAGTATATCCCAGCCTCATGAGGAACCTTGGGCTACAAAGGGTTGCAGCATAACACAGGCCTTCTTAAGAACTTAACTGTTTAAGGAAAAAGAGAAAAGGGATTCCCTCTCAAAAAAAGATCTCATCTTTTGATCATTTAAAATCTTGTCCCATCTGCCACACTTAATTTTATTAAAGAAGCATCACCTCATTTACTAAAGCTTACAAATTTTTTTTATCATTAAACATTAAGAGAATTTTGAAGAAACGGAGGACATTTAGGTTATCAAGAGTTCATTTAAATTTTCTATTGACAACTGTTTAATTTCTGATGTCTATAACATCACTAGACACTCACACCTAATAGACAGTTGAGTTACAACCAAACTATTGACCTATTTTCCCAACCCCTTTCCAATGATAAAAAAGTATCAGTTTTATTCTCTTGTTTTTGCAGGATATTAAAGCAGTGAAAACATTCACCAAAGAAAACATTTTTAATGTAAACCAAGTATTCTAAAAGAAAAGAACTAACCATGTCAGTTAACAATTATCCCAACAGACAGGTCCTTACAGTATAGTATTAGGTTATCATGAATGTCAAGGGATCTTTCCAAAAAGATGCCAAATGGAAAACAAAAGTTACAACTCTGCATTTTCAGATTACATTTGGCAGATTCAAACATGAAAACATACAAAATTTCGATAGACTCTTAAATACATACTACTTACATGACACCTTGTAGAACTTTCTGGGGATCAGGGTCAAATAGCCTGTCAACATAGTGGCGACTGCTAGCTGTTACTTCCTAGAAAGTGGGGGGAAAAATTATGACATCTGAAGCCATGCAAATCACAAATTCACAGCATCACCTATAACATCAAATAGCTATATATTCTAACTTAAGGTAGATGCATTAAAATTTCTATGGAATACTTATTTTTATATGCCCCTTTATGCTATTCAATATTAAACAGTGATTTCTCCCTCTTAGGTATTAAAACAGTTGAAAAGTGCAGTGTTCTTTTAGCTCAAGATGCCAAAGATCAGTATTTTTCTAAGAACATCCAATTTTAAAAACAAGAAAGTCATGGAAAGTAGTGCAAGTTCTACAATGCAGAAGACTTTAGGAAATCAACATAATTAAGACACATATGATAATTTTATTCATTTGAAAGGTAGAATCATAGAGGGAAAGATTTAGTACACTTTTGTACATGCATTATTCATTCGTTTTGAGAAAAATTAGTGACAAGATCAGTAATAGGATGAGAAAGTTGGAAGACACCCTATTCTCACTAAAAATCTAACTGGACAGTCTGACCTTTGTGGTAAGCCCTGCTACTTTTGTCAACAAAAGAACTGGATGTGTGTGTTAAGAAACATGCTAAGTTTCTTAATTAACTCCTGAATGTCATATGCATGTAAATAATGGATAGGAATGTTGCCTCCATGTGGCACCCAGAAAAGAGACAAACTGGATTTCAAACAAGGGAAAAAGAACTTCAGGAAACGTCAACAAGGGGTAGTGTAAGAAGGTCCTGGAATGATGCAGAGGCCTACACTACTGGGACGCAGACTCAAGTAAAGAAAAAAACCACAACCAAGGAGCTGTCAGACTAACTATGAGGAAGAAGCAACTCAGGACTAGGCTGACTTGTCAGGTGCAGCAGAGCTATTCAGTCTGAAGTGGACAAGGCTGGGTAGAGGGGAGTCACAACACAAGAGCAAAGGGAGACACTCGCCTGATTTGTATTGTAGTTTGCTCTGTATATGATTTCTTGTAATGCTTGGGTGGGGACAATATTTAATTTTTATATTTAATTTGCAACTCTTAACATTATTTAAAAGCAAAAAAACGTAAGTATAGAAACCAGAGAAAGGGAATTTTGTCCCTTGCTCTTTCTTTCTGATGCCTACTAAAAGCATGCTTATGTACTGTTACCCATTACCAAAAAATTATTATAGGGAGGAAGAAATAACTTCTCCAATTTACCCAGAACCCCAAATAAAGTAAAAGAGTTATTATTATGCTTTCTGTTACCGTAAAGATTTACAGCCTTGGAAACCTTATGCAGGGTCACTATGAGTTGGAACCGACTCGGTGGCACATGACCACCAACCAACCACAACTTAAATTGCAAAGATACAATATCAGCATAAATTTCTGAGTTATCAAAAACAACAGTATAAATTCTGGCTTTCCAACATTTTAGTTAGAGTCCTGGTGTGGTGCTATGGGTTAATACCAGATTGCAAAGCCGTTTCAACTGCAAGATCAGAGGTTCAAGCTCACCAACTGCTCCTCAGAAACCCTATACAGGGTCGCTATGGGTCGGAACCAACTTGACGGCACTTAACAACAAAAACAATTTAGTTATCCAAAATAAAAGCATATATTCATATTATGAGCTTGCTACCAAAATACCCCTGTAAACAACTAAAATACCTACTCTGTGCCCCATTTATTAAGACACAGTGGTAGCAACAAGCAAAACTGATGGAAATTCTCACCCGAGCAGGGTACCATTAGAGCGCCTGTTAACAGGGTCTGTTTACACAGCCTAAAAGCCTGCATTTATCCTCAAAATAACAGAATCACAGTTAGAAGGACTCTTATTTTATAGTAAATAAAAAACAGAAGTATTCACAACATAAACACAGCACTACAGAGGGAGTTAATAAACTGGAAAATTCAAGAAAGATTTCTTCAGAGGTGTTAGTTTTAGAAAAGGATTAAGGGTGCACCAGGGTGGACCAGAAACGAGAAGGAATCAATGTTACAATCATAGCCACAGGGATGTGAAGCCAACACATGCATACCATCCCCAAGTATATTAGTTGCCACGGGCACTGAAACAGAGGTTATCATTGTATGTATATAGCTATCTCACAACTCATTCAAGTTTTGTGCAACTTTACCCCAACACAATATTCTATCACCATTAACCTTCTCTTTTCCACTCTCTCCGGCCCCTTTGTTGTTGTTAGGTGCCATTGAGTCGGTACCGACTCACAGCAATCTTAGGCACAACAGAACGAAACACTGCCAGATCCTGGGCCAACCTCACTACTGTTGCCACGCTTGCTTCCATCGAAGAGCCCCTGTTGTTGTTGTTGTTAAGTGCCGTTGAGTCGGTTCCGACCCATAGCGACCATGTACAGGGTTTCCGAGGGTGTAAATCCTTACGGGAGTAGAAAGCCTCATCTTTCTCCTGTGGAGCAGCTGGGAGTTTCGAGCAGCTGACTTTTTAAGGTTCACAGCCCGATTCGTAACCACTACGCTACCAGAGCTCCTTCGATGAGCCCCTAGTAACCATTAAAAAACATTCTTGTTTTTTTATATAAGTGAGGTCATATATTTGTCCCTTTGTGATTAACTTATTTCACTAAGCATGTCTTCAAGTGCCATCCATATTGTAGCACATATTAAGACTTCACATCTCCTACTGCTTAAGTAGTATTCCATTGTATGTGTGTAACACATTTTGTCTATACATTCATCTACTGATGGACATTAAGGTTGTTTCTACCTTTGACTATTGGGAATAGTGGTGTAATGCACATTGGTGTACAAATCTTGGTGTTTCTACTTTCAAACTTTTGGATATAAACTTAGGAGCGGAACTGCTGGGTCACATGCTACTTCTATCCAGATCACTCATTTGGTGAACTCATTGCCATTTATATCTTCAAACTCCCAGATTTGTATCTTGAGCCCACAACTCACTCACAAACTCTAGACTTATACATCCAACTGCCAAACTTGAAATCCTTACCTACAGTTTGGGACCTGAGCATTTACAAAGATTTAGTTGCTTATTAATGAGATCAGAAAAACTGTGGGAGGTACAGGTTTGAGTGGGAAGATCAAAAGTTCAATTTTGGCCATGTTAGATTAATATCCAAGTAAGGATGTCAAGCTAGCAATTGGACATCAAAGTCTAGAACAAAACCTGAAGACTGAGCTCTAAGGCATCTGGACAGCCAGTGTGTTGGGAAGAAATCCAGGAAACCAAATGAGCGCTTTCAGGAGAATGTAATGAAATGAACTATGTCATCTACTACTGATGTGTAGCATTCGATGATGACCAAGATCTGCCATTGTATTTAGGAACATGGAGGTCATCAGTTATCTGACAAAAGTACTATGGGCAGAGTACGCGAGACAAAGCCTGCTTGGAGCAGGTTCAAGAAGAGAATAAAAGAAGAATTAGAGCGTTGTTGTTGTTGTTGTTAAGTGCCATCGAGTCGGTTCCGACACATAGCGACCCTGTACAGGGTTTCCGAGGGTGTAAACTTTTACGGGAGTAGAAAGCCTCATCTTTCTCCCGCGGAGCGGCAGGTAGTTTCGAACCGCTGACCTTAAGGTTCGCAGCCCGATTCGTAACCACTACGCTACCAGAGCTCACCTAGACAATTCTTTCGAGGAGAAATAAGGTAGTAGCTAGCTGGAAATGTGAGATCGGGAGAGCCTTTACATTCTTGTTTTTTTGTTGTTTTCTTTAAGATGGAATAAATTAGAGAGTGTTTATTTACTTGACTGCTAACCAGGAAGTCAGCAGTTCAAACTCACCAGACTCTGCTTAAGATGAGGTAATCTGTTTCTGTAAAAATGTATAGTCTTGGACACCCTATGGGGCAGTTTTATTTTATTTTGTCCTTTAATGTTGCTAGAGTCCTGGTGTGGTGCTGCAGGATAAGCACTCAACCTCAATGTCTGTTTGAACCACAAGGTCAGAGGTTCAAACTCACCAGACGCTCCTTGAAAACCCTTTAGAGTCACTATGAGCCAGATCTGACTCAACGACACTCAACAACCACAATAAGGTTGCTATGCGTTGGAGTCAATTCAACTGCCATGGGTATAATAAAGCCAAACCCATCAGGAAATGACCTTGGGAGCAGGTACCTCAAGGTGATACAAAGGCTATAATCACTGTAGACATCCAGAGTTTTTTTTTTAAATTGTTTATGTGGACAATGGATTTTCTATAAAGTACCACAACAGTAGTGGTAGGCGGAGTAAGCAACCACGAGTAGGAGCTAACTTTTAAAGAAATGAGGGGGAATAATAGAAAGGGATTGGTAGATAGTTATGGCATAGAATCTTGTTCTTAAGTGCTGCCAAGTCAGTGCCAACTCATAGGGACTCCATATAGAGCTTCTGAGGCTTTAAATCTTCACAGGAGCAGAAAGCTTCATCTTTCTCCTGCAGAGCGGCTGGCAGGCTTGAACTTTGGACCTTGTAACTCACAGTCACCATGTTCCCACATAGAGTTCAATGAGATTCAAAACTGGAATTTTTATGGAAGAAGGAAAGCCAGCAAACAGCAAAGAGGAACAAGAAAGACCTCTACTTTCACCTTTTTATCTGAGAAGGCTGAAGGAGAAAGCAGGGGAACACGTGTTATCAGGGGAAAAGTCCAGTTTCAGACCAAGTAAAAAGATAAATGAAATGTTCAGAGAAGGGGTTAAAAAGAGGCAAAGGGCACAGGGGAGACAGGGGTCTAGACAGAAAAGTAAATGGAAGTACACAGGGATGAGGAATGATCCTACATTCCTGGCCTTCTTGAGGTACAGTTAATGTAAATGGAGATAAAGAACTTAATCCTGATGGTCATGAAGCAAAAAATGGAAATGAAGATTTAAATGTTGGGGGATCTCAGGTTGGAAAAAATTAGGGGGTTCCTTTCCTTTTCATTCTTGTCAACAACATTGTGGAGGCTGAGGAGGGAGAGTCTAAGCTGGACACTTTTTTTTTAAGTTGTTGAAGACTTAATTTTACTCAGATCAATCAACAACACT